CGCAGACCCAAACAATGTTTGAAATTCTGATAACGTATGCTGTCCTGTTTAAAAGCTGATCACGAGCTTGCGCAAAGCCTCCTTATGCAATGCACCTTGTCGTATTACCTTTTTAAAAAAAATAAATCAATGTGTTTTCTGCGTCTCACCTCGTTCATAAACTATATGGGATACTTTTCAACATGCAACGGTTATGTAACTGAAAGGACGCCCCAGTTCAACGTTCGTCTTCGAGAGCCTTGGAAACTGTTCAATAGCCCATTTTCAAGACCCCCCCAACACATCTAAGATCCCAACCAGTGCAGTCCATACCATGGCACCACATGCTACCACCTGCGTCAACAGCACGTTTCGAACCACTAGAAAAAATACTAAAATCCTGATTTATCATTACGAGAGAAAGGCGGTCATGTCTTTAGGCTCATGAGCAGCCTTCGACGTGCTCATTCAAACCTGCTGTGTTTTGTTGGGGGGGGGGGGGGAGTCCCCAACATTTCAGAGTGTTTAATGCGTGTAGGCTAATGTTTCCTGCTGTGCGAAATGTGTATTGTACAGACAGCATACACTACAATCTGGAAGGCGTTTTCTGTTCTGAATTTAGAGCTTGTCCAAACAACCGAATAACCGAATACTGCATTCTCCCGGAAATGTCTTTACCACAGTGATAATTACTTATCCCCAGTGCCCTGGTAAGGGTATCGGTAAAGTCTAGAGATGTCCCAACCATAAGATGTATTTCAGTTTATTTGAGCATGAGAAAAACAAACCTCAATATCTGTATCACTGTTTAAGTTTCAACATATCAATTTGCTTTCAGGAGGGGATATTTCATAAAATTGTGCGTTAATCTGCTATCGGAGAACATTTAACTCAGCCCTAATCATTACTACCACCCTTCTTGGTTCTATACCAATGCACTATTCCACCCCCTCTTTCAACGCAAATAGACTTGGCAAACACAATGTTATCACAATCAATATGAAGGCGTCGTGAGTTTGCACGCCCTGTTCTTGCACAATGCTGAACTTTGTGTTATTATTTTGACGTCTGGATATCAATGTTCAGAGTGTGATTCTGAACTGATCTTTAGTCAATTGGTATTCACTGCTCAAATAAGTATAGTTTTCGGCATGCAGGAGTGCTAGTTGTTTTTTGTTTAACATTTGAATCTTTGTTTGAGTTATTTTAGGCTGGTTAAGGCAAATGTGTTTTGAGCAAATACCGATATCTATAAACAGAAATAGATACACCGAGCAAATGGGGTGAAATACCCTGCTATACTAGATCCTCTCCCACACTTTCACACCCGACCCATGATCGATAATGTAGGTAACAAAACAAAAAACCCTATGTTTAGGAGAAGGAGGAGAAGGAGGAGGAAAATAGAACATAACAATTTAACATGTCTTTCGTTTTAGATTTTCTTGTCTCATTGTCCATTTACTTTTTGGGGGTTTTCTTTTTTTTTAGGGGAGGGGTTCGTACTTACAACTAAAGCAGTTTTATCCCCTCCCCATTGTCATTTGCTCTTTTGGATTTGTTGCTTCCTTTCTCAATGTTCAAATCGCTCCACCATCAATTGGTTAGACATACTTCTCTTAAAATAATAAAAGTGCAATAAGTTGGGTTTTTTTTATCTATGTATTGCACAACTTCACTTGTCACAAATATTGTCATGTTGGTGTTTTTACATTTAGAGATGCAAATGGTCAAATGTCCCACAAGTTGGAAATAACGGAATCGGAAAGCGGGACAATTTCACGGGTTGAATCGTGTTTCCACTCTTTAAGTAATTATTCTATTTCCACCACGCACGTTACTAGTCTCTTGTCGATCCGAGTCTCAGGTAATTTATTTCTAAAAGGGAGGGGGTGTTTTTGGAAAGGCTCCTTTAAAATAACTTGTTACGGAAACCAAGAGAAGAAATCAGATCCCTGGAGGTGGAGTGGAAGAAACGCGCGCGGATACTGGATTGACAAGAAAGCTTAGCTCTTAAATTGGGGCAAACATTGCGACGGAATGCCCAGCTGGAGAAAGCAGGTGGCAGGTTGGGATGTCCAGACCCTGTATCGCACAGGCAAGGTGACACGTGTGATTAAGAAGTTCAGTGACAGGCCAAAGAAGCAGAGAGGCATCTGAAAAACATGAGTCATGACGTAAGACCTTTAGCCAGAATCCCAATTACTGTCAGAAGAGGTTGTAAGAACACCATGCAAGAAGTTTCTACATAATATATAAAAATGTAAATATCGTGTTGACCAAAGCACAAAAGATGACGGGAAGTAAAAGACCGCTCTATTAAATTCTTGAGAGCGATTTTGCGTCAATCACATCTTCACTGTAAAACAGATCCCTGAATGTGGAAATTTGTAAAAGCATCCTTATAGATCGATATTTGACTTGTTCCTTTCTTTGATTATACTATTCCCATTCGAACCCGGGACCTATTGAATGAGGGGCGAACACCTTAACTTCTAGACCACGAAAGCCCCCAGACCCAAACCGATAAAGCCCTGAAGTCTTCATCATCTCATACCGTGAAAGTAGAATGTCAGTATGTGCGCATACGCAATGCCAACGCTGGTTAGAGTAAGCTGTGTCACCTTGTCCTTTGTGACCCAGTGTTCAGGACAGCATACGCTTAGGGACGACGGCTGACTGCATTCTTTTCGTTTCAATATGATCGCATGTTTGGACTTCCACTTTCAAACCAAAACAAAAGACCACAATGATACTCACACTGGATCGACAGTGAATATAAAGCGGACAGTGAAGAATCTAACTCCATTGTACAAAAAAAATAAAAATAAAAGGAAGACCAAAAAGAAAAAAACCAAAGAAAGAAAGCTATGTTGTCGTCTGTTTGTCATATACATTTGACTATCCCTATATCAGAAGTTAACGTTACATTTGATTTGTTAAACTAAAAGTAAAACAAAAATTGTCCAGTCTCAAGAGACAGGTACTTTTGAGCTATCAAGATATAAGTGTCTAAATGCCGTAAATCGACAGTACCGTTAAGAATTATGTGTTGAATCACAAAAATGTAAGTGCGTATGGAAATTAAGAGTGAGACTGTAGTATGGTTACAGCAAAAAACGTTTAAAAAAATCCTCAGTTATAGCAATTCATTTTTATATAACGAACCTATGCTTTAAGGTCAACTTTTCTTTTCTTTCACCCTCCTGTCCTTCACTTCCTGACTCAAAACATTATATTGCCGTAAAGTGCTCTGTTTTCTCCTTGCGATCATTCGGCTCTTGTTGTTGAACGGAATTTCATGACAGTTATAAAATCAGTTATCATTTTATCCAAACAACATAACATCACTGGAGGGCATCAAGGCTGTCTGCCGAGCACGGTGTTCGCGGGTGACCTGACCGGTGCTTGACCACGTCTCGGAGGTCAGGTCGGCCGGCAACTGTGAGATGTGCTGTGTAGCAGCTGCGGCTAATATCAGGGCTGTCACGTGGGAGGCGCGAGTGTATGGGTGACAGTGGATGGGACAGACTCTCCGCATTACCCATTCTGGCAATTTAATAAGTCCAGAGAGTAAGTGGGGTGGAGGGGGGGGGGGCAGGAATACAGAGATTGCTTGTTGACTTGCAAAATTGCCTAATAGATAGATACAATCTAGATTGATAGATTGATTGATTGATTTATTGACTGACTAATTGATTGATTGATTGATTGATTGATTCATTGATTGATTGATTCATTCCTTCATTCATTTATTCATTCATTCATTAATTCGGCACTTATTGATAGATTAATCAATTGATTGGTTGGGTGATTTGTTGAGCCACTCAAGGACAAGTAAAACTTGTAGAAAGGGTTGAAATGGCATAACGAGACTTGCTTGAAAATATTTTTGACCTTAACGAAATTCCACATCTTTAAAGGATGACACTAAAAAAAGGAATGTCTCGGAATTATCAAATTTATTATTTCCATGTAACCATCGCAGTTGTGTAGTCACCAAATCAATGTTACCATTTTTACTGAATCTAAGTTCAATTTTTTTGTTTGGATGTATACCACGGTCATGTCGTAATATCTCTCAAAGGTATGTAATACTCGTAATTCAGTTAGTAACTGAAATGAACTTTTTCACTACTATATTTCATGTTAACAGGATGACTTTTATCTTGCGAATTGGCATAGCTTAAAATTCTACTACTCAGCCGCAGCTCCACCCCCCTCCCTGTCCCACACAGTTAACTTGTTATCTTTCGAACAGGTGACGCTTCAAAATTACATTTGTATTTTAACAAATTAATAGGGAACATGAATGCTTGTAAGGTAATATTAAAAACATTATTTTGCCACAAAAAGTCGAATATTTGGTCTTGATGTCCCTCTCCCCTCCTCTCATGAATGATTAATTTCAACTTTACGAAAAGTCTGAAGCATGAAAAGTTGTGCATTATTAAAAATAACCTAAGACACATTTGCCATGTTGTTCTATTCTGAAAAGGTCTCCACATCGCGAAGCATTAGTTTGCTTGCTGATTAATTAAGCATGCTGGAAGGTACTTTGAGTAGTTATTCAATGTTACTCTAGAACTGAGTCTGTAGTTTCCTTTTCTACTTTGAGTAAATGAACCGGTTCCACATAAGTACTGTTTACAAAAAAATTCGATGGTTCATTTGGAACTTAAACTATCAATAATTACGTGGGGTTGGGGGGGGAGGATTTTATTGAAAGTAGTAAAGCTAGGAGAAGAATAAATAAAAGGAGACTAACTGATAGAAACACAGATAGACAGACAGGCAGACAGAGAAAAACATTAAAAAGAATAGATACATGCTTTTGAAGCGACGCATATCGATTCCAACAACATATTTTCTCAGGTCATACTGTAGCCCGAAATATTACAACTTCGTAACAGGTGCTATTTCGCCAATGTGGCCAACAAATGTGCGCGTATTATATTTATCCCAGACAGTGTTATTGGGAACATCTACATGGCAGTAACAGCAACATGTATATTACAACCAAAAATAAGAGGTGGAGATATTTCCAAATAACGTAGTTTGATCACGGTAACAAAGGTGGGTTTTTTTCGCTTGCCTTCGGTTGCAATTGACTCGGAGCTGTTTTGTTACAACTTGATTACATGCAGGTAAGTTGCATATCATGTCATGCACATATTTTTGTTCTATTTAACTTTACGAAATATCGTGTTTTTCTTCGTGATAATGAGGTCAAATGATGAGAATAATGTGAAGAGATTGCACCAATTGGCATTTTGCAACAATAAAAAAAATAAACAATAGAAACAAATGCTAACTTTCGTTGCCTCAGTACAGTGAACAGTAAAGACAAAGAGACAAAGAAAGCTCTGAAAGAACAATCATCTCCCCAGGAATAATAAATGTTGCTCCCTCACATGTATTTTAGGACTCACGAGTACCTGTAACTTTAAAACGAGAGACTAGCAGGGAGCCAAGCCAAACTTCCTCTATTGTGTAACTAGATATCTGTGTTCACTTTGTCCATCAAGCAATTAGGGCGGAACCGAGCAACCAGCTAATGCACCCTTGCATGCAATTCTACGATAAAAAAAGCTCCCAATGCTTATTCATCTTCTTTCATTTTGGCACTTACGGAGCCATCTGATCGATGGGCGGGCCCTGTGTGACACGTTAATACCACGTTCCTCTTTATGGCAAGCTCGTTAACTTGTTATTTTACACAACACATTGATTTGCCCCCGGTGTCGCAGAGGGTCGGGAGAAAACGAAGGTACTGAGCCTGTGCTTTTTGTGTTTAAGGAGAGGTGAGAACATAACAAACGGGGATCTCATTGTTTTCTTTTCTTTTTCTGGTTAGAGGTGAAGGGAGGGGGTGGCTGGGAGAGAAGTGATGCTCGAGTCAGAGAAGATACCAAATGTTTGAGGGAAATAGGGAAAGGGAGGCCATTGGCTGTGTGAAAGGATAGAAGATAAGCGAAATAAAGAGGAAGAAAAATATTAATATACTAAGTAATTCAACAACAAAACTTGAGAACTTTTTTTACTGAATATTTCGCATAAAATTTGTACTAGATCTAGAATGTTGTATTTTGGAACAGATCTACTTTTTTCAAAAGAAATTTGTTTGACGTAAAATTAATAAAAAAGAAACTTCTTTTCGAAAAAGGAAATGGCTTTCATAAACACCACACATTAACACAAAATGCACCAATTTAAAAATCTCCTAAGGAAAGTCATAAAATGATTAATCTGTTTTCATCCCTTCTGTAACATGTAAACTATATTTCTTTTCTCTCACAGTTTAAAAAAAATACGTTTAAGATTTTGGAATTCCTAGAACTAGTGCTCTATATTATGTCCTTCTTTGGACTCGACACATTTTTTACGCGTTGTTCGTAAAGTTCAATTTTTGGCAATGCACGGGGATCCACATAAACACGAGTGCTCAAAGCCGTACTGTATACTTTACAGTATGGAGTTGTTTCAAAAGACAATTGAAGAGGAACCTATAGTTAAAGCTTTTATGGATTTTTATTTTCTAAAGACGAGTCATACGACTTGATGGACTGAGCACGAGAGAAATGCTGCAAGTACTAAGGAAATAAAACTCAGGTCCAATGTACCGTTTGTAGGGTTGCAGACTCTAAACAGTACCACATGATGTCTAATGTGACCTATACTAGGAGGGAAGAAAGTAGTATCAAACAAAAAGCATCAAAGAGGAGGCAAACAGACAAGAGAACCGTTGAGATGAGACTGAACAAACACGTCTTGTTAGACTCTATTTACTTGTCAATCAATAAAACAAAATATCTGATCGTTTGGATATTTGACAACAGAAATATAAAGCAAAGGATAATATGGTTCTTCTGTCTGGAAAAGTTTTCCTGAACTCACGAAATTATTTTTAAAAGTTTAGGCATTTACGGCATGTCATAGGGGCCGTTCGCCGTGCCAAAACTTGGGATTTTCTTGCTCGTAAGTTTTATGTGTTTGGTATTTTATTTTTGCTTTTTTGTATCGTCGTTTTTTATTTGGGTTGTGGGAAGGAGGTTCTTATGTTGCAGTTTTGCTCTTATCGGGCTTTGTGCTATTAAATAATGTCTACTTATTTGCAATGTCAATTAGGTTTCTTGAGGACTGTTCTGATAACTGGCAAAGTTGACTTAAGTTTTGTTATTTTACTTTTAATCTTGAGTGACGTTTGACTACATACACTATTTACTTTTTAACACCCACTACCCCCCCCCTTAAATTGTGATCTTAAGACAATAAATGTGTCTATCTCTCTATCTATCTATCTATCTATCTATCTATCTATCTATCTATCTATCTATCTATCTGTCTATCTATCTATCTATCTAACTGTTTATATATCATTATCTTCATCATCAACTGCCAGATCTGCAATAGACATCGGCAATCGTGGTTCTCCATTCAGCCCTTTGCTCGGATTCTCTCAAAACATTTTTATTATCCTGATCTTTCACGTCACCCATCTGTTTGGGCTCAATAAGTAGGTTGCTTTGGGCTTACCCCTTTCTCCTTTTCCTTCAATGTTGCCAGTGAGAGCTAGATGTTCAAGGCTTTTATGTCTATTCAAGTGTACCCAAAACGACAATTGTCTTTTTCTGATTGGTTTTTATCGGCACGCAGCTCAAGTGGGCTTCTTCAAGTATTACCTCATTTCATTTCTTTTCCTTTGTCTCAGATGTTTTCAGCAGAAACCACATTTTTGTTGCTTCTTTTTTATTTCCATTGCCTTTATATTATAATAATGTTGATTATCATTAATATTATTATTATTATGATTATGATTATGATTATGATTATGATTATGATTATTATTATTGCTATTATTATTATTATTATTATTATTATTGTTATTATTATTATTGTTATTATTATTATTATTATTATTATTATTATTATTATTATTGTTATTGTTATTATTATTATTGTTATTATTATTATTATTATTATTATTATTATTATTATTATTATTATTATTATTATTATTATTGTTATTATTATTATTGCTATTATTATTATTATTATTATTATTGTTATTATTATTGTTATTATTATTATTATTATTATTATTATTATTATTGTTATTGTTATTGTTATTATTATTATTGTTATTATTATTATTATTATTATTGTTATTATTATTATTGTTATTATTATTATTATTATTATTATTATTATTATTGTTATTATTATTATTGTTATTATTATTATTGTTATTATTATTATTATTATTGTTATTATTATTATTATTGTTATTATTATAAGTTATAACACCTATCTTCAGTCCAACAAGAATTAGTTTCGGAAAAAACACACAAGAACGCCTCAAAACATGTGCTTTGCTAGATAGTTTCTTGTTTTTTTCACCAAAAGCTAGAAAATACAACGAAAGTGACATTGTTCCTCTGCATCGATTAACTTTTTCTGTGAGAAACCCAGGTTTTCCCATTGTAAGCGACTGTTATTCTGGTGTTGTCGAGGTGATATGAACCAGCAGTAACAGATTCAGCGATGTTGCCAATCATCCCCTTGCTCTGGCTCCAATGGACACAGGATAAGTGGCCCACACATGCCCTGGCTTGCTTCGTCGAGGCCCAAAAGATGTTAAATAAACATGAAACGAAAACAAGGTGGAACGTCGCTGCCAGCAAGGGCATCAAAGTTTGATGAGCCACTAGATTACGGCGATACTAGAAACACCCGGAACTATTTTCCCTCTATAGTTGTGGAAGCAACGGGTGCAACTGAGACATCGTTATCTCAAAGGCACGAGGAAGTTTTACTTAGTAAAGATATCAGGAAATAAAAACGTTTCTAGGGACACATGAGAAAACGTAGTAGAATTACAGTAATATTGACGTTATATAAAATGATCTTTTAAATTTTGTGTCACTCTTGAGCTCTGAACACACCTTTAGTCCAAATATTGTTGACCAGGTGGGTTGGATTCAGGCGGCTGACACAGCTTATCCTTGGAAAGTCCATTAATTTGAATGAGTTGAGGGTTTTATAGGTGTTGTGAGGGCTTGCAATTACGCTGTCGATGGTTGTCTGTAACTATCGCAACTGTTGCATTATTGGAGGGCCCCACATAGTCAGGAGGGAACCAGACAGAGAAAGTTAACTTGGGCGAACTGTGGCGAGAAATGTGACAGTCACATTGACATAATCGCACGAAAGATTTCCTTTCTCCATCCACCCTATCCTTTTCACTCTCCTCTCTCTCTCTCTCTCTCTCTCTCTCTCTCTCTCTCTCTCTCTCTCTCACTCTCTTTCTCTGCCTTTCTTTCTGTCGCTCTCTCTCTTTCATCCCCTATATCTCTCTTTCTCTCTCTCACTCTCTCACTCATCCTTTATCTCAACCCCTCTCTCTTTCTTTCTGTCTCTCTCTCTTCCTCTCTCCCTCTCTCACTCACCCACTCTATTTCCCTCCTTCATTCTCTCACATTCTCTCTCTTTCTGTTATTTCCTATCTTTCTGTCTATCTATCTATTTATCTATCTATCTATCTACCTATCTATCTATCTATCTATCTATCTATCTATCTATCTATCTATCTATCTATCTATCTATCTATCTGTTTCGTCTCTGTGTTGATCCTAGTCTATTTTTGTCTTATTGTCAATTTTTGTGATAATATTACTTTTGGACAAAACACAGAAAATATCTTAGCATCATATTGGCACTTTTCAATAAGATTCTCCGCTAAGCTGCACGTATTCGCCAAGCTAGCTCTATTGCTATGGGTAAGAAGTCGGCAGGAAGACAGTGATAAAACGTAGCACAAGAAAACATTAAAGATATGTGGATGTCTTGTAAGAGGTACTGAACTGTGCTGTGGTGTGAACATTGGCGGTTAAAAGTCGTTGATTTGCTCATCCCTGCTGGGTGAGACGTAAAGCCTCACTTTTCTAATACCTCATGTTGGACAGAAGAGGACTGGGATAGAAAGAGAGAAGGAGAGAGAGAGAGAGAGGGGGGGACAAAACAAACAGACAGACAAACTGACGAACAGGCAAACAGTCAAACATACACACAGACAGACAGACAGACAGTGCGAGAGAACGAGAGAGGGAGACAGAGAAAGCCACAGACAAACAGAGCCAGAGACAGA